GTGGTCAACCGGGCTAGGGCATGGCAGGTGGGAACAGGGCAGCGGGTGGTCGGGGTGGCAGATCACCTGCGGGATGGCCCGGGAGCAGCTCCTCCAGGTGTACAGCATGACCGCATACTCTTGGCCCTCCTCTAGCATCTCATTCTGCCAGAGAACCCCAGGCAAGTCAAAGGCAGGCAGGGACACGCATGAAAAATGAGATGCACATTGCTAAAATCTAGGCAAAGCCATGAACAGTCCTGCACACCCGGCCTGCTGTCAAGAGACAGCTGCTGAGAAGCTGGGGTGGGATGCAGAGTGGGGCCACCGCTATCCTGAGGTAGAGAGCATGTCAGTGACATTCAGGCACCTCCAAGTCAGCCATGCCCAGCTAAGCCTTGGCTCCACCCAACCTTGGCAATCTGCTGGCCATGAAGCCACGGGGTCATAGCAGCCTCCTAACTCCCGAAGAAGGCAGGTAGGACTGCAGCCCAGGTGTGTGGGGGGAAAGTTAGAAGTTCCCACAGCACCTACAGTCCAGGGAGAGTGTACACAGGAAAGTGATTGTCAGCATTTTTTATGAAAGTGCTTTTGTGTTCTATTATTTCACATTGTTTCCTTTGGTAAATATGATAAAAATCATATAGAGGCTCTTTAAAATGTCAACTACAATTTGACAATGTTTTTAATATGCTTTAAAATGCTCACAAACTTTGACACTAACATCACTTTTACCAAAAATCTAGTCAATATTTAGAGATGTTCATCACAGCATTTGAAGATTAGGTACAAGGGGAAACTAAGTAAGTGTGCAAAAATAGTTAAATCATGAATATTTACAAAATGGTTTATATCACCATTAAAAATTACTTTCTATGGGCCTGGGCGTGGTAGCTCAGGCCTGTAATCCCAAACTCCCTTTGGGAGCCCGAGGCAAGAAGATTGCTTGAGCCCAGGAGTTCAAGACCAGAATGACAAACATAACAAGAACTCATCTTTACAAAAATCAAAAATTAGCCGGGTGTGGTGGTGTGTACCTGTAGTCCCAGTTACTCAGGCTGAGGTGAAGGATTGCGTGAGTCCATAAGGTGGTGACTGCTGTGAGCTGTGGTCATGCCACTGCACTCTATCCCGGGCAAGAGGGGGATCCTGACTTCAAAAAAAAAAAGATTACTTTCTCTAGCACAATTTCATGACATGGGCATACAACTGGTGTGTGTGATTGCAGATCTGGAGAGGGAGTGAGCACCAACCAGGGAGGAGTCCCCTCAAAATGCTGACAAAGGCTTTCTTTTTTTTTTTGAGTTGGGGTCTCACTCTGTCACCCAGACTGGAGTGCAATGGCCGCTCCCGGTCACCGCAGCCTCGACCCGCTGGGCTCCGGCGATCCTTCCATCTCAGCCTTCTGAGTAGCTGGAACTACAGGCGCGCGCTACCACGCCCGGCTCATTTTTTGATTTATTGTAGAGATGAGGTCTCGCCAAGTTGCCCAGGCAGGTCTCGAACCCGCGGGCTCAGGCAATCCACTCCCTCAGCCTCCCAAAGTGCTGGGATTACAGGCTGAGTCACCGAGCCCGGCCAACAAAGACTTTCTCTGGGCCACAGATGCTACATTTTCAGAAAGCATTATTGTTTTTATAATAAGAAAAACAAAGGCTTTTTTTGTTTTTTGGTTTTTTTTGAAAGGAGGATTTAGTGAGAAGACAGAAAAGCACCCACAATGGGAGGGGACCCGAGGGGGTTGCCCTAAAAATATAAGGCATTTTACTCATTTTCTTCTCTTCTTCCTTGCTTCATAAGCCATCAGGGTAATACCAGAAAAGTATGTATTTCCCATTCGAAGGTGCCTTCCCCCAAGAGAAACAGGCACGCAGCGGCATTACCATGCTTGAATGGACGGTGGCTTGCTCAATGTATCTTGCGATGCCAGTGACAAATGCATTTCTGTCTTCAAAGTTAGTGTTGAAATTCGGCTGGAAGGAAGGGAAAACTGTCAGGTAGAAGTCAAAGCTACAGGCTGTGTGCCTGCAGCCGCTGGGCACCCACCTGGTACAGCAATGAGGATGGTGGGGGCTCGATGCAGGGCTGCTGGTCGGGCAGGGGCAGCTCCTCCAGGAGGTCCACGTTGGACAGCGCATCCTCCAGCGTCACCTGGGCCGCCATCCTGGGCCAGAACAAAACACAAGGCCACCTGTTCTGAGAGGAAGAAGAGGAGGCACCCAGCAAGCTTTCCAAGGCAGGGTAGCAGGCTGTCAGTCCCTCCTGCTCCTGAGGGCACTGGCAATGGCCAACTTGGGCATCCCTCCCGGGGCATGCAGGCCAGGGTGCCAGAGTCCCTGGTCAGCCTCTCCTCCCTTCACAGTCACTGGAGACAGACTCCCCTGGCCTCCAGGAGTGTGTCACAGTGTAGGGGACACAGACCATCATACGTGCCACTGCCTCCTGCCGTCCTTCCCACCTTGGGGAAGCAGTCCCTAGTCTCTGGTAACGAGGGCTTTTGGCGAGGGTCTGACAACCCTTCAGGTGGAGGACATACCGCGCCCCTCCAACATACACTTGCCCACACCAGCTCCCTGAGTGCCGCTCCCAGGCAGCTCCTCAGACAGCTGGGGACTGAGATGGAAAAAGCAAGAGCCATGGCCCCAGCACCAGCTGTCCTGCTGCACAGACAGGCAGAGATAGCCAGTAGGGGGCACCGCCAGAGAGGCCTGGTGAGCCAGGAGGTGGCTCGTGGCAGGGACAGAAATCACAGACGCTGCAGCTGGTGTAGAGGACAGAAATGAAGGCAGGCGTCATCCGAACACACCCCTCTGTGCAGCTGCAGAGGGTGGGGTAGGCACATGCCAGCCTGCCTCCCGCGGAAACTGCTTCCATCCCAGATGCCACAGGGGGTAGCTCTGACCTCAATGGGACGCAGGGGCAGGTGAGTGGCCATCGAAGAAGGAAAAGGCAGTAGGTGGGCGACAAGACCCTGAACAGGAGGAACCCCAAATTGCTCCTCCTGGCACTGGCCACCAGATGTAAGAGCAGGTGAGCAGTGGGCAGTGGGACAGGCTAGTGAGTCAGCATCCTGGCTGGAGAAGGCAGAAGGCAAGCCCCAGCCAGTGTGGGGAGGAAGAAGAGAGCCCAGAAAACTGCACAGGAGCTTCGCACCTGTCCTCGAGCTGCACACTCCCAGTCCCCAGACAGCCAGATCCCACACAGCCACGAGCCACACACTGTGGGATAGAGCCACATGGTGCTGAAGAGGGTATGACAGCAAACAGACTCACAGAGGCAAGGCAGAAGCACAGCCCAAATCCACCCAGGATGTCTGCCTGCTAAAATAAAAATATCAACATCCTCCTAGGATCTGAACATGACCCAGAGTCTTATATCACATGCTATATTATATGTTTGAACATATTATACGTTCAAAATGTCAGTTATAATACAAATAAGATCTCAAATCCCATGGGAAAAAGGCCACCAACAGACGCCAACGCCAAGGTCACATGTATCACATTCTCTCCAGGCTTCATAGCAATGACCTGCTGTACTATGAAAATCCCCGAACAAGCCGGGTTCGGTGGCTCAGCCTGTAATCCCGCTCCTTGGGAGGCTGAGGTGAGTGAATTGCCTGAGCCCGCGAGTTCGAGACCCGCCTGGGCAACTTGGCGAGACCTCATCTCTACAATAAATCAAAAAACAAAATTAGCCGGGTGTGGTAGTGGGCGCCTGTAGTTACGGCTACTCAGAAGGCTGAGGCGGAAGGATCGCTGGAGTCCAGCAGGTCGAGGTTGCGGTGGCCGGGAGTGGCCACTGCACTCCAGTCTGGGCGACAGAGTGAGACTCCAACTCAAAAAAAAAAAAAAGCCCAATCAGGCCACACCTGACTTGAACAGAAAACTTGAAAGTCAGCAAAAAACAAAAGCAAGATGTAAGGAAGACCAAATGGAAATTTTAAGCATAAAAGACGCAATACTAAAATGTTAAAAACTCCCTACAAGAGCTAAAAGCAGAGGAAGGGTTCCGTGAACTTGAAGACAGGGCCATATAAGTGAACTAATATGAATACCAGAGAGAAAAAGACTGAAAAAATAAAAAGAGCCTTGGGGACCTTTGGGGCAAGAGAAAAAGTCTAACCTCTGTGTCTTCGCAATCAGTGATGACATCAGCTGAGAACATGACTGAAAGCTCCTTTTTGTCTACAGATTCAAGAAGCTCCATGGATCCCAAACAAGATAAGCCCAAAGAAATCCACACTCAAACACATCACAATCAAACTGCTGAAAACTAAAGACAAAGGAAAAAATATCTTGAAAACAGCCAGAGAAAAAGGACACCCGACAGAGCATGGAACAGCAGTTGGAGGCCAGTGGCTCCCACGGGCAGTCGGCGCAGAGCCTCATTTTCAGCGCCTCATGTAGAGAGAAGCAGCATAGACCCTGAATCCCACCTCGGGGGAGGACTGATCCTCCAGGAATGTGGTAAAATAGGACACTCTCAGAGGAGGAAAGCAAAGGGAGAGCACAGACAGCGAGCTGAAGGAAGCTCCTCAGCCAGGGAGGTGCAGAGAGAAGGCAGGACGAACCCCAGGCACAGCCGCAGGAGAAAAGTCGCACACAGAACAGACTCTCCCCTACAGCCCACTCACAGGTATGTGGAGAGTGAAAGCAAAATCAAGATATCATCTGATGGGGTGTCCAGGGTACATAAATGTAAATTACCTGAGACAACTACAGCATGAAGGGGGGGGGGAGATAAGGTTTCTACCTAGAAGTAGTGAAAAGTAGACTGATTCTAAGTAGAATGTGAAAAGTTAATAAGCATGGATTTTGTAATCTTCAAAGCAACCACTAAAAAGCTACACAACGCAAAATACATAACTTATAGATAGATAATTTAGACTACATTAAAACTGAATACAACAGAATGTTTAAGTAACCTAAAAGAAAGCAGGAAATGGCAACAAAGCAATGAAAAACACTTACAGGGATCTTATAGCAATCAAGTAATAAAATGGTAGACCTAAAGTCCAAACATATTGATAATTATATTATTATAATAAAAAACATCAATTAAAAGAGATTGTCGGAATAGATTAAAAAAATCCTAGCCCAACTCTATGCCATCTACAAGAAGCTTGCCTCAAATAGACTGACAGAGCAGGTCTGAAAGTGAGAGGGAAGGAGACGATCCAGGCACATGATAGCCCAAGGGAACGGGAGTGGGTGTGTCAGTACCAGACAACGCAGGTCAGAGCAAGTCCCTGAGATGAAGGGGGACACTGCATAGTGACAGAGGAGTCAGTTCCCTAGAACAATCCTACATGTGTACGCACCCAGACCAAACACTTCAAACTGCACCAAGCAAAAATTGACCGAACTGGAAGGAGGGATTTCATAGTCATAGCCACCCCCTAATCTGGGCAATCTGGGCTTCCCTTTCTGTGGTTTCAGTTACCGGAGGTCAACTGCAATGCAAAAATATCAAATGGAGAATTCCAGAAATAACAATTCTTAAGATCTATCTTGCACCCCATTCTGAGTAGAGTGATGGGATCTCGTGCCATATGGCTCAGAGGTCCCTCAGCCGGGATGTCCACACTGTATCAACTACCCATCTGTTGGTCACTCAGTAGCTCTCTGGGAGATCCATCATCAGACTGTTGTGGAAGAGCAGGGCTTGCATTCAAAGTCAGATGGCCTAACGCTGCATCCCTTACCTCCCTCTACCACATCAAATAGGTACCGTGTAGCCCCACATCTTACAAGGGTGAGCACAGGACAGGAAGGTATTCTGAGACAGAGACCACATTCACATAACAACTTTCATGACAGTATGTTACTGTAATTCTATTTTATTATGAGTTACTATCATTAGTTATATCTTAGGTATGTATGTGTAGGAAAAAACTGTATACAGGGTTCAGCTGTTCATGGTTTCGCTGGGGGTCTTGGAACATAAGCCCCTTGGATAAGGAGGGGCTGCTGCAGGCAAGCCCACAATGGCAATCGGAGATGCCAACAAGTTCCCTCAGGAATTGCTGGGCAATCTACAGGAACACGGAACCCCTTCAACACCAACCACTTGGATCTCGCTGAGATCTCTGCCTCTTCTTCTGCTGGGACACTCCTCCCAACAACAGAAAATTATCTCTGCATGTTTCTAACTATAAATTTAAAATGTAGCAGATAAATGTCAAAACCAAGAAGATGGCCCTTTTAAAACCTTGTATCATCAACTTCCTGTTCCACATTCAAGAAACAAGAAGCACAGGACAGTTACTGCACAAAGCTGCCCTGGCAGGGGCCACCGCCCTGCAGGGCCAGTGTGGGGAGCCCCAGCCACATCCAGCAGGCACCTCAAGCTGACATCTCCGAGGAGGCTAGGCTATCGGAGGACGTGTCTCAGTCCCACGGGCTGGGGCTCCCACCGAGCCCTACTGGCTGTGACCTGAGCCCAGATTGTGCCAGGAAGGGCCCCAGGGCGCATCCAGTCATGCCCGGGACCCACAAAGGGTCAGGCCGACCACCCAGGGAGACCACACAGCCCACGTGACAATAGCTCTTGCCTCTGCACAGCGCCCACAGGGACCCTTCATCCGCCCCTGCCAGAAGAGGCAAGATGATCCCCTCAGTGAGGGGCGAGGAGGCGGGGGCGCAAGGCAGAAGGTGCAGCGAGACTGCTGATGCCTCGACTGTGACTCACAGCCATGACACGCTCATGTCACAGCCGAGGAAAAACACCACATGCTCCGCTTACTTCAAGCCAGTGCTTACGGACTTCTTTCCTTGCATAAGATTGGCAGTATCTATGTGCTCCATCCACGCAATAGAATATTAGCCTTAAAAAGGGAAGACGTCTTGACTCACGCCACAATGTGGATGAACCTTGGTAAAAATCAAGCTGAGTGAGACAGGTCAGTCACAAAAAGGCAAATCCTATGTGATTCCACTAACCTGAAGTCCCTAGAGTCATCACAGGCACAGAACAGGAAGCAGGATGGTGGTGGCCACTGGGGGCTGAGGAGGGGGGTCAGCAGGTTTTGTTTAATGGGCACAGAGTTTCAGTTTGGGAAGGTGAGAAAGCTGTGGATATGGAGGGCGGTGAAGGTTGCATAACAGTAAATGTGCTTAACACCACTGAATCCTCACTTAAGGTGAAGTGGGGTAAACTGTGTGGTAT